TATTTGTACAGTGTCTTACGAGAAAGTAAGACTTCAACAACAATTTTTGAATTATAATTAAGTATACTATTATTTATTGATTAGACGGAGTAGAAAAAAACTAAAAATAAGGTTTTTGAAATATCTAGGTTTTGTTTTTTACAATAAAATATATAGGTTACCGTGGAATTTATTGAGAAATTAATATTAAATAATCACAAAAAATTTTCAACTAGGTTACTTGAATTTTTTTTTAATATTAATTTCTCAATAAATTCCACGGTAACCTATATATTTTATTGTAAAAAACAAAACCTAAATATTTCAAAAACCTTATTTTTAGTTTTTTCTACTCCATCTAATCAATAAATAATAGTATAATTCGAGAATTGTTGTTGAGGTCTTACTTTCTCGTAAGACACTGTACAAATACTCACATTTTAAAAAAAAATTCTCAAAAATTTGCACGGTAAGGTATAGTTAAAAGTTCACTATTAGATAAATAAGGACTTCCAACTATTAGAAAAAAAATAAATTTTAGTCATAATCTAATATTTTTTTATTTAACATTGGTGGCGTAAGGGGTGGCGAAAGGACCTCCTTAAGCTTTAAGCTTGCTTAGCTCACATATTTTATATGCACCGAAGTCATTATAACACTTAAGCGAGATATTAGTTAAGCCCCCATTTTTGGCGGTTGAAAATTACAAAGCAGAGCTTTGTCAAAAACGCCGTCTTTATGTTAGGCCAAATTATATTGAAAATATGGATGATTTGAGTTTTTTCGAAGATTCAGATTAACTAAACCAACAGTGATATCCGTATTAGAACTAATTGAAGATCAACTAGAGTTTGAGAACGACTTGTAAGTATTTTGATAGTGATGAGAGACTGCCTTTTACTAGGTATATAAATATATATTTTTTAGAAACAATAGCGTATCTCCAATCAACCAACTTTTAACTGCTTTAATGTTTTATGCAAGTAGTGCTCATCAAATAAATATTAGTGATTTTATGCATATGGATCAAAGTACTGTTTCCCGTATAATAACAAAAGTATCTGCAGCTATTGCTAGCCTTCGAAATCAATTTATTAAAATGCCAAGTACTCCTGAAGAAATACTGTCATGCCAGACCAACTTTTACGAGGTAATGCGATTTCCTCGTGTTATAGGATGTGTGGATGGGACACACATTAAAATCCGTTCACCAGGTTAGTTTACATTGTCCCTTTGAAACAACAAGATCACATGTATATTTTTTTAGGTGGAGATGATAGAGAGATTTACAGAAATAGAAAATCCTATTTTTCTGTTAATGTTCAATTAGTGTGTGATAGTGGACTAAAAATAAATAATATTGTAGCACGTTGACCTGGATCTGCTCATGATGCCACAATTTTTAACAATAGTCGCTTGAGAATTAGGTTTGAAAGTGGAAAATTTGGAGATGGTATTTTGCTTGGTAAGTATATTATGTGCCTTTTTGTATAAAGTTTAATAATTCAGCAATAACTTTTTTTAGGTGACAGTGGGTATGGACTGAAATCAAATTTGCTAACACCACTTACACAACCTGTAACACGAGCACAACAGCTATACAATGAGTTGTATATTCGCACAAGAAATTGCATTGAAAGGACAAATGGAGTATACAAAAGATGGTTTCCAGCTTTGTGTTATGGACTCAGGTGCAATTTAAATACTGCACTTTCTGTAATGGTTGCAACAGCAGTATTGCATAGCATAGCTCTAAATATGCATGAAGATGTGCCTCCACCCCCCCTATGCATAAACATAGACCAATTAAATTATTTAATTAATCAAGTCCAAGTACCCGCAATCAATCTTCATGAAAATGTAATGTACGGTTTTCGGAATGATATTGTAAATACCTATTTTGCGAATTTATAATAAAAGTATGTTAATTTTTGTATTTGTAAAATATTTTTGTTTCAGAAAATATGTATTTTCAATTGTTTTTTAAATAAAATTATTATTGTAAAACATTTTTCTTTCACAGCCGTTAAAATTCTTGGTACACAGTAGAAAATGGCATTTTGTGTTGCAAATCATTCCACAGGAAAAAATAAGCTAGGAATGTATTAAGTGCACTGTAACTATGTAGGTAATTTCGAAGTAGAAAACTTACAATATAAGCAAAAAACACTTTATTTAAAAAAAAACTAGTCAATACAAAAAATATATAGGGGAGAGGGGGGCACGTTTGAACGAAGGCACTTTTGAACATTAACTGTAACTTAAGCCAGTTGGAGATTTTCGTTTAAACGGTTTGGCAACAATGTCCATATTCTTAAAGACATCTAGAAACAAATATTATGATCAGTTAGTAATTTGAGCCGGTACAACGTACAGTTGTTTTTTAACGCCGCTAATTTGTAATATATCGAGTGAACAGTTTTTGTTATTTCAATCTACAGATTGTGTGTTTCTTTTATTATTTAATTTTCACGGCATATCCAACTGTTAAGAATTATTACGTTGTTAGTAATATACAGGTAGGTCCACTTAATTTTTTTTTATTTTATGGTATTTATTTTGTTGCTACCTGGGGCACAATTGAACAAGTGTTGTTGCATGATAATATGCACAAAGAAATATGCATTACGTGTTGTATAGAGCATAAAAGCTAAATAGTGTGTATATACCCAAATAGGTATTACTTTTTTTCAGATTTATACAATGGTAAGGACTTATATAAAGAAAAGATCTAAGCCAGAATTCAAAGAAGATGATATGCAAAGAGCTATGGAAGCTGTTAAGAAAAAAGAGCTAACACTAAGAAAGGCTGCTGAAATTTATGGTGTTACCCACACTTCACTTTTTTACCGTCTAAAAAAAGTAGGGGACTGTGATGCTCCACGAGAAAGTCGCGAACATTTCTCATCTAAACATAGCTTCAGACAGGTTTTTACAAAGGAACAAGAAGAACTTTTGGTTGTTTATATTTTGAAATGTTCTCGTGTGAACAACGGACTAACCTATAAAATCCTGCAAAGTCTAGCTTATCAATATGCATTGAAACTTGAACGAAAATTTCCAGAAAAGTGGAACGAGAACTAAATAGCCGGTATATATTGGGTAAAAGGTTTTATGAAAAGGCATCAAAACCTTTCTCTACGAAAACCAGAAAATACTAGTCTTTCAAGAGGCACTAGTTTCAATCAGACAAATGTGATTGCCTTTTACGAAAACCTTTCCCGCGCTATTGGAAAATATCCTTACAAACCCGAAAGAATATTTAACCTTGACGAAACAGGTGTGACGACAGTGGTGCAAGCGCCAAATGTTATTGCAGCAAAAGGGGTGAAGCAGGTGGGGCAGGCTGTTTCAGGTGAACGGGGAACTCTTGTCACTATGGTGGAAATAGTGAGTGCATCTGGAAATACTATACCGCCAGTTTTTATTTTCCCGCGGACCAGATTTCATGAAACCTTCATGATAGGTGCTCCACCAGGCAACTTAGGTCTAGTGAACAGTCCAAGCAATGGGTGGATGAACGCAGCACTTTTTTTGAAAACTCTTGAGCACCTAGTGAGCTATACGAGATGTTCCGTACAAGACCCCATCTTACTTTTTATGGATAACCATGAGAGCCACTGTTCATTGGAAGCTGTAATTTATGCAAAGGAATCGTGATGGTAACCTTCCCACCTCATTGCACTCACCGGATGCAACCATTAGATGTATCGGTCATGGGCCCATTTAAGGCTAAGTATAAAGTGGCTCAAAATCACTGGATGCTTTCAAATCCAGGCAAAACGATAACAATCCATAATGTTGCTTATCTGGCTGGTAAATCTTTTGAAAACTCGTTTAGTTTAAAAAACATAATTGCTGGATTTCGTAAACCAGGAATATATCCTTTTGATCGAAATGCCTTTAGCGATGAAGATTTTGACGCTGCATATGTCACTGACAGGCCCAATGTATTATCTCCACCGCATCAAGAGTCAGTTCCCATAAGTCTGCCACTCCAAGAAATTCCAACATGCAGCTCCTTTCCTGAAGCTCCACTCAACTTATTACTACCATCTGACAACTCGTTAAATGTATCTGTCGAATCTATACGCCCGTTTCCTAAAGCACCACCAAGAGAAGAAAACTCCCGTGGCCGTAAAAGGGGAAAATCAAAGATTCTCACGGAAACACCTGAAAAAAATGCATTAGAGCAACAAAGGATTGACAAAAATAAAAAAGTTAAGGTAACAAAGAAAGTTTTTATTCCCGATCAAATATCCAGCTCTAACGATTCATTCTCTGTCCATGATGATTCGGATGGACCATTATCCGAAGGTTCTTTGGATGAAGATTGTTAAGCGAAAAATGAAGATTTGTCTGTTGAAGACTTTATTGTTGTAAAGTTTTCTACAAAAAAAAACAGTCGTGCACTTCGTTGGACAGATTATGGAAAAAAATGGTGATGAATTACAAGTTAAATTTTTAAGACGAAAGGGATTTAAATTTTATTTTCCCCTCATTGACGATATTTCAACTGTTGAAATCGAAGATATGCTTCGAAAATTGTCAGCTCCTTTAAATAATAAAGGGACTGATAGAACACAGTCTCTCATTTCCTTTTACTTTAATCAATGTACAATATTCGATAGGTAGTACGTTATACATTATCAAACACTTGTTTTATTCTATTTTTTATTGTATGTATTTGATAATAAATACTTGATATTAAACTTTTACTTTGAAATATAGTACAGATTTATTGAAAACTGTGTACTTTTAGTATTGTTCAAATGTGCCCCCACCACGTTCAAAGGTGCCCCGCAAGGGGGCACCTTTAAACAATTGTACCAAGAATTTTGAAATTTTTATAAAATCAAATCATACTACATTGAACTATAATTAACGGTGCCAAACGATGGTTAAGACTTCAAACTATGCTTTTGTCTACATTTAATTGAATTATTGCTTTATATTTAAAAAAACGCTACTCCAGTACTCTTATTGGCTAATTCAATTTCAAGTATCTCCGTTTCCAATTTTCATTTTTTTATTTTTAGTTTATTTTCCACTTTAATATGACTAAGTTGTGTATCAACTATTTGTAGCCTCTTGTCAAGCAACAGAACATATTTTTTTGCAATATTTGAGGACGTCATAGGTTTAATGACTGTTACGGGTGTCTAAAAAAATGTTTTATTTAAAACATACTAATTGAAATTATATGAAAGAGGTGATATTAGTGATTTTGAATATCAATTCAGCATTAAAAAATAACTAACCACTTTGTTTTCACTAGGCACTAGTGGGGCACTCACAGGTGGCTGTAATTGTATTGGTGTATACTTTTTCCAAGGTTCCGTTACTACCTCACTGTCAATGCTCTGAAAACAATTTTCAATAACTTAATAAGCTGTGCCATTATAATTTATTACCTACAAGGTACAAGTAAATCTTCTATATATACAATTATCTAAATAAATACAGCTATAGAAAAGAAGGAGACTTTACCTGCACCTCCTCTATTGTTTGTGAAGTTGATGCCTTATTTTCAAGTACATCTACTGCATTTACATATTCCAGTGTAACCTCATTTGTTTTCTGATTCTCAATAACTGACTCATCAGCATCATCGTCGTAAGGATTATGGATCCCCATCAATGTTTTTTTTATTGAGTATCGATAAAAGAACCTCGTCGGTTTCGTCTTTTTTTATTTTTGGAGGAAGCCCACCACCCGTCAACATAGTTTCTTTTCGCTCTTCAGCTAATGATTTTCTCAATTCTTTCTTTATATTTTCATAGCACTTTTTAAGTGACACAGAACTTCTACAAACATTCTCAATAGCTTGCCAGGCTTTTTCCTTTAATACAGATGATGCTCGATCTGCTTTTTATCTTCTATAATGGAAGCGTGCTTAGTTGCAATTATATTCATCAGTCGAGCTCTTTCAATGACTGTAAAATTAGGAACTCGGACTTTTTGTGAAGTACTCATATTACTTATTTATTAAAAAAACTGATAAAAAAAACTGTTAAGACTGGTAAAAAACTGATAAAAAAATTGATAAAAATTAGTAAAAAAAACTGATAAAAAAACTGGTAAAAAAATTGATAAAAAAAAAACTGATAAAAAATTATAAAAAAATGATATAACTGATAAAAAATGATAAAAAAAAATTAATAAAAAACTGATAAAAAAACTAATAAAAAACTGATAAAAAAACTAATAAAAAACTGATAATAAAACTAATGAAAAAACGTGATCAGTATAGTAACAGAACAAAACAGTTAGGTTAGAGTACACATTTACAAAACACAGAACACAAAATTTGCAGAAATGTTAGAATTTTTTAGATTTTGCCAAACTTCTGACTGGTTTAATAAAGCGAAGCTTAATATTCTACAGTGCATAGTATCAACATTTAAATGAAGCTTTATATTACAGCCTAGCTTAATTAAGCGACGCTTAAACGAAAAACAGTGAATATGGGCATTAGCTGCTTCTCTTGCCCATATGGTCAATGTTTTCACTGCAGTTTAAAACCGTCAAATGTCTGTTTGCTTCCCAAGCAAAATAGTATCCTATTTTAAACATTGTCTTCATGCTGCACTAATTATTTTTACTTTTCTATATTAACGTTTTTATTAAATTTTCCTTATTTAATCTATAGAGATATCACATAAATTTAAAGACAATGAAAACGTACGTTTTAAGAGGACCCATTTCATTTTTATTACCAGATACACCCGATTTAGAATCGGCGCAGAAATTTCGTCCTAATAAACTTATCCTTTTACGTTATTATAATATGTAGTGTGCAATAAGAGTTATTATTGAAAATAGTCTTTATGTAAGCAAGGTTGGATTTCCTTAACTTTTAAAAACAGATACGGCAGTTTGTCCAAAGAAACTGGAAATTAATATTATCTCTAATCAGGTTATTCTGCCGTTTCCTCAAAACTATCAAATAAGAAGTGGATTATGTTTTAGTTGACCTTTCAAATTCACAGAAAACCTGTACGGCATTAAGTGTAAACATTGTTTATGATCTTACCACACCAAATGTATTTTAAAACTTTTTCAGTTAAACGTACTCGAAGTTTTTATATGCAAAGTTTTTTCTGCCAAAAATATTGTTTCTGGTAATATATTTTTCAGTTTTGATTTAAAATAATATATAATGTTTTGTTTTTTCCTTTAAGATTTCCGTCATTTAGGTAACATTTTTTCATTTCAGAAACTGCTTTATTTTCGTGTATTTCCATATTTTAGTAACTTTAAAGTTTTTTTCTTCATTGTAGCAATACAATAACGTACTATAACTTAGTTTTATTGTAAATATTTTTTAAGGCAGATATCATAAAATCACGTATGCTTTTTTTTATAAAAAGTAGGGCTAGGCTAAGGCATATTTTGTCTCTATTTCGAAGAGTATTTGAAAAATGACTAACAATTTTAATCATGAGCGAAATAGTAAACATAAAATTACCAGTACGAACAGTTTATATCATCACAGCGAAGTTATTCAATTAACAGTATTTTATTCTTGCTCCGTTACTGAAATGACGATTTTCAGGTCGCTTTTCTTTAAGTGTAATAACAAAATATTTCCACGATATTTATCGCAGCCAGTTGTGTTCTGTGTTAGGAAAACTATTTAAAGTACAGTAAGTTAAAAATTTAACTTTGAATACAACTTTTTTTTAACTCTTTCATCATCGAATTGTCCCATTATATGAAATAGACCCTTATACGATAAAGTAATGGCGTTTGTTAGGTATTTAGCAAATCACGCCGTTATTTCCAGAGATTCTGGTGGAAAATGAGTTAATTATATCATGAAAAGATCATATCAAACACGTTGTTATGCATCTGTAGTAGCTCTAAATTCTAGAAAGGAGTTGAAACTAAATATGGACGAACGAATAATCCATTTCTTTCAAAATATGAGTCTACCAGTCGAAACATCTGGAGAGTACTTTACAGGGTGTCGTTTTTTTACTATAAAGGCTCGATGACACTAGGCTAGTTTACAAGCTGCTAGTCGGCGAGTTTACAAGCTAGCGAGTCAGCGAGTAAGCGAGTATCGATGACATACAGAAGGTTCTACTAGCTCAGTAGCTAACTAGCTATCAAGTTGAAATCTCGTGTTTGTTGTTTTGCGTGGGCGCGTTGTTTATTTTCTGAATCCTCGTGTTGTTTTGCGTGACGTGTTATTTACGTTTTACCGTGTTTTTTACGCTGAACAATGAAGTGGAACACGCGTGGTATCGTAGAGTTTCTAAACATATATGAGCAGTATCCGATTCTGTGGAATATAAAAGATAAAGACTATTCCAACACCAAAATAAAGGACGACATTTTCAAGAATCTCCTAGAGAAACTTAATGAGAAACAGCTAACTGTGGGTATGGATGTCAAGCAGTTAAAGACCAAAATAAAATCAATTAAGGACGTCTACAGACAAGAAATAAATAAAATAGAGAAATCTAAGAAAAGTGGCTGTGGTACTGAAGAAGTATACACGCCAAAGTTAGCATGGTTCAAAGATGCAAACTTTTTGGCAGAGGTTGTGGCCACAAGAAGCAGCCAATCAAATTACGTCAGTAAAATATATTTTTATTATATAATAATACATATTAAAACTTAGACCGTTCTCCATCTCTTTTGAGTCCAGCTTTCTCCCATTGCCAAGGCAGAGGATTTTCTTCTGTAAAGTAGGTAACATATGCTTTTGTGATCTCCTCAGCAGTTCGACTGTAATGGTTTCCTCCTAGGTGATTAATAGGCTGCACAATGCCAGCATTTTCCCTCCAAAGCCCAGGTGTGATATTCCCAGTATTCAAGTCCTCTCTATCTACTGCTTGTTGTGGCATGTAGTTACCCGGATCAGTCTTTCGTAGCCAGTTATGAAGGCTACAGGCAGCCCAAATGACTTTATCGATAGTTTCCGGTGCCAAATCAATCGGTCTTGAAAATATTCTGAATCGCCATACTAGTATGCCAAAAGCATTTTCTACGACTCTTCTGGCACGGGAAAGACGATAATTGAATATTTTTTGGTCAGGACTAAGAGCTGTTTTACTGTATGGTTTCATAAGATTTTTCCTCAAAGGGAAAGCATCATCTCCTATAATAACGCCATATTCAGGCAAACCAAGAGTCTCCTTTTCTATTCCAATATTCAAAGTACTGTCTCTAAATATAGCACTATCGCTTGCTCGACCATTTGCACCTACGTCAATATACGTAAAGCAGTAATCGGCATCAACCATAGCAAATAATATTATACTATAGGTTTTTTTATAATTGAAGTAGACTGAACCGGAACACGGAGGCCTCTTAATTATAACGTGTTTCCCGTCGATTGCACCAAAACATCTAGGAAAATTCCAACGCTGAACAAATTTATTTTCTATTTCTTTCCATTCATTAGCTTTTTTAGGGACCTGAGAACAAACAAAAATTATAGGTTTATTTTATTTTCTAGGAACTGTCACAAAGCAGTCAAGCCACACCACCAGACGAAGACAATAAAAGTGTCGAGTTTGAAAATGACGAGGACTCATCACAAGAACGTTCTAAGTCGCCTGAAAATATGGGACCACCCCCGACACCAAGGAATAGAGCTAAAAAACGACCGAGAATTGAAGAAAAATCAAATGAAATTTCAGAAGCTATAAAAAAATTGAATGAAATTGCCAAGGAGTCGTCCGATGAGAAGCCCTATGACCAGTTTGGGAAATTTGTGGCTTCTGAGCTGCGTCTCCTACCACAGCGACAGGCCATTTTGGTGCAGCAGGAAATCCAAAACTCAATTATTAATGCTAAGCTGTCGTCTTTACAGCAAGAGGCCCCCCAATCTGTCCATAGTGTGTTTTCACCTTTTTCAGATGACTCATTTGCTTCGACCTCTGCATCATCGATGCACAACGACGATGGGGATGTTTTGCAGCAGGTCCTAATCAATACATTCGGAGGAAACACAACATAAATGTTTGTCAAATAAATTGTATATTTTCTAAAAACTGATGTTTAATTTTTAATTTCACTCACCTCAATGAACGGTCGAAGGGCGCAGGAAATTGATGTTAGCACTTCGGGTAAAAACTTCGAAATAGTTGATTCCGGAACTCTGAACAGGTATTCCAAAGACTTCAAAGAATCGCCCGTGGCTAGATAACGTAATGTTATTTCCAATTTCGTGGTTACTGGTATTGCCGGTCTCATTTTCGTATCTTTCTTTTTGAGCATTCCATTTACCATCTGCAGTAACTCATCAAATTTGGAACTGTTCAATTTCAACATATTTCTATAAGCCAAAGGATCTTCGTCCTTCAACTCTCTCAATAAACGGCTAGAAGCACCATATTTATCGCGTTTTTCTATCCATGATCTTATCCATTTTCTTTTCTGTTTCAAGTTTTTCTTTTGTTTTCGTTGTAAATCCTTCTTGATAACACTTGCTAAAATAATTACTCCCGCGCGAACTACTTTCGTCGACATTTTAGCTTTCAACTGCCAAAACGCAAAGATACTCGCAACTAGTTACTAGCAGCGATGATGACACACGGCTAGTTAACTAGCTTACAAGCCAACACGCCTGCGAGTGGCGAGTAAATTAGCCCGGCTTTCTATTTTACTAGCAGCGTTTTTACAATCGGATAGTTGACTAGCAGATTGTAAAAAAGCCGATGACACGGGGCGAGTTTACAAGCTACTAGAAAACTCGCTGGCTTGTAGCTCGTAAACTAGCCAAGTGTCATCGAGCCTTAAGAAAATAAATAGTCATGACCGTATTTTCTTAGGCAACTCATTTGCGGTATATTTATAAATATATATTATTTAATAAAAAAACTTCCATCCATTAAACAGATAGGTGAAGGTCGACCTTACTTACAGATCTTGTACTATTATCAATTTCAAGAACATCATTATTTAAAATACACACACACTTTGATAATACCAACTGTTCTTGAAATACTGTAGCAATTTACATGCTATAATATTTTCCATCAGCATTTGAAAATTCCAAATGAATATTAATTCTGGCCTTACTGAGTTCTGTAGTGTTTCCTATGCTGTATTTTTAATCTGCCAGTGTCCCTAAAAATAAAATATTTGTACATCTAGGTATACAAATGCATCTAGTCATACAAAAGTAATCTTTTAACCTAAACATTTATATAAAAAACCAGTCTACTAGGTATGTAGTAGTAGTTCAAAAATAAGATTATATTTTTACACTAATTTTCTCAACTTAATTACTTGAAATCTATGTATAACACGAACAAAAGAAAATTACCTAAATTTGTAAATAGTATTCAACAAGATTAATAGACTTTTATACTTTTATCCATTTATTAAAATCTAACCTATACATATGTAGATTGTTTATTTACATGCTAATGTCAAATCTTGGCCACGACCTTGTAATAATTGTTCTCTTCTTCATTTTAGTGTAATTTAATTAATTAGGTCAATAATTAAGCTGTTTATTGGCAGTTTAGCCTTATTAATCAGGTACATGTTTCTACTTGGTGTCTGAGGTTTTATCTCTCTGGGTTCTCTGTCATTTCCTTTTTGGTTGGTTTTTGGGCCATGTGGTCTGTGTTTTATCTAACGAATATTTTTGGATTTTTTACCACTCCTAAAAGGGAGTCTATCAAAATTACTTATAAGTATTGCTTGTAAAATCAAGAAGATTTGTATTTCAGGCATTGTGGATTTGCGATACTTAAAAAGAAAAGGCCCTACCTTACTTGGTAAGTCACCCAGACACAATTTAAATTGCATGCACCTCTATCTAGCTTTATTTATGCTTTTAGGCCTATTAGTTATAGTTGCGATACTATTCTGCATTAGCATCATCTTCGACTGCTTTTATCGGCTAGACAAGGCCTATTATAGTTACAATACTATTCTGCATTACCATTATCATACTATCACCTTCGACTGCATTTGTCTGCTAGACAGGGTACTCCTGAGCTTATTACTTCCGCTTATTGGCTGCTCTTGGGCTTGCAAATGTTACAGTGCTGTCTGTTGCCCCCATCGATACATCTAGGAGACTTCTAGAACACAAGTAAGATCCCTCCATTTTTCTACCTACATGTAACTAACCTGCTATCTTTGGAAGGCCACAATCACCCTAAAACGGAAACGATTTGAGGGTTAATTATTAAATCATACATATATAGAAATTAGATTAGTACAAATAAAGATATTTTTTTAAAAGAACTGCATAATAATTTCATAGAATTAAAATAAAAGAATACTTACTCATCTACTCGATGTAAACAAGTAGTACTACTTGGGCCTGAGGGGTAAGAGCCTTGTAAATAGGGACCCTTGCATGTATATAAATTGTAAATAAAGTGTTAATTTCTTGTCAGATAGTCCGCAATTTTGGCAACACCTTGTATATAGACACACTCTATTTCTGTAACAAAACCATTATTTGAGCAATTGAGCGAAAACATCAGTAAATAGAGTTTACCTAATGTATTTTTCTACCTCCCAACTCTCCAGATGAAATTTATAAACCTGAGCTAGCTATTATATAATTTCACCCCCTATCAATCGAGGGAGCAATGTAATACTGGTTACGTTCTGATACAGCTGGGAATATTTCAAGACCTACAAAAACGATCTTATAAAGTGATACTGCGTATATATTCTGTACCAAGGCCGTAAAGTTGATATTTTTTGGCCAAATCAAATATGTGTGGCCAAGGTGTAGCCGAGACCAAGCAACTTCTGGTTAGGCCAAACAAAGACCATACGGCCGAGGTGCACAACACAATCTGAACGCTTTATTAATTAAAGGCTTAATTATGAATTAATGGATTAGTCTAGTAGTTTTTCATCATTGGCTAGTCCAACACAAACTTTCAATAAACTGTCTGTAGATCAGTAACCAAACCACTGTATTTAAATTACTTTTCCTTGCATCGTGTGCAGAATCAGGAAAGCCAACAAAAAATTGGTAAGTACATTATCTGGGGTACATATTCCTTCAAGGAGTATGGCATGGAAAAATGTACGTTACCTTTGTTGATATTTTAATTTTATACTCTTTAAAATGGATGTGGTTGAAATAAAGTGTTCGGATTGCGATAAAAAGTTTTTTCAACGTAAAACTCTCTATGTCCATATGAGAAACGTTCACAAAAAAAAAGACGTTTTCTACTTCTACCTACAGATCCAGAAATACAATTGAAGGGTGTCCGGTTCAAACATGCTAAGTGCCAAAATTTTAAATTTTGAGATTTGTCGATACAAACATTATATATACCATTAGTTATGTCCCACAAAAATGCTAAGTGCCAAGCTTGACTAGAAAGGTTATAAAAAAATTGTAAAGTTGGCGTGGTTCAAAAATGACATGATGTTTCAGTACAAATGAGGCTCTCAGAAGCAGAATGGCCTAAGCCACAATTTTGCAATTTTCAGATCATTTTTGTAAACTTCTCCTTTCGTTCATAACTTTCGACTGCAGAACAGCCTAAGCCGCATTTCGCTACTATTTCATAGATGCCGCCATAGGTTACGTTTTGGCTTCGTGAATATTATTTATTACTGTAAGGGTAAATCGGCCTAACCCACAGGCACCATAAACAAATCGTAAACAGTTGCAAAAAGTGAGTCGTTCTATTTGGGTGTGTTTATCTAAAAGATCGTTAAACTATTTTTAGTAACAAAAAAATTAATATGGATAGTTCGGCCAATAATACTGGTAAGATATTTATTTAATGTTTAAATTTGTTTTTCTATTTGTATGTGATGGTGGAAAAAAAGGTTATTTTTTTAGATATTGACGAACCCTACGAAGATTCAGGCTCTGAATACATACCTAGTGATCTTTCGGAAGCTGAGAATATTAGTGGAGATGAATCTACAACTCAGGAGGCAGTAGACAGCGGTAGTGTATAATAAACCTTAATTTTTTGGTTCTTTTCATGTATACTACTATTTATTTTCAGCGGATGAAGATGAAAATACAGATGTCGAGGAAAATAATCCTGTTAAACCAAAAAAACGTCTACGGCATGAGACTCATTGGAAGAGAAAAGAAGCGAAATCGAAACGTTTAAAAGGAGAAGAATATGTGAATTCCACGGGCAGATTAGTTCAGCCTAAAACCTATCAAGAAATAGTTTGTTCATGTTCCGACAAATGCAGCGATAAAATAAATGCTGACCGCCAGCGAACTTTATTTGAACATTTCTATAACTTTGAAAGTTATAACTTACAAACAGCATACGTATATGGTTTAATAGATGTTGCAACAAAGCAGAGAAGCTACAAAAAGGACAACAATCCATCTAGGAGATCAAACACAAGATTATACCATTTAACATGTGAAAATGGAGGCAAAGTGAAGGTATGTAAAGATTTCTTCAAAAAAGTTTTTAAAATTTCTGATGGTAGACTCACTAGAATTTTAAAAACCAAAGTTTCTGGCCTACCACCTCCAAGTGATAAACGTGGTAAACATGCACCACCAAATAAAACCAGTGAGTTGAAAATCGCTGAAGTTAAGGATTTTATCAATAAATTTCCTGCATATCAATCACATTATTCAAGGAAAAAAAATCCAAACAGAAAATATTTAGCTCCAGATCTTAGTTTGGGAAAAATTTATAACATGTACAAAAATGAAGTTGTTGAAGCTGTATCACAGTATGTTTTTTCAAATGTTTTCAATCAAGAATTTAATCTTTGTTTTCATGCTCCAATTACAGATTCCTGTAAAAAATGTGATTCATTTAAAATTAAAATTGATGCCATGGACAATGAGATTGATAAACAAGAGAAGCAAACTGAACATGAGTTACATCTTCGGAAAGCAGATAGTGCAAGAGATGGAATGACAGCAGATGCGGAATTAGCAAAAGCTGATAAAAATATTACTATTATAGCTTTCGATTTAATGAAAACTTTGCCAACTCCACTGTTGTCCACAGGAGTCGCTTACTATAAGAGGCAACT